AAATGTCATCAATTTAAATTATTAATGTAGACTTTAACATTGCTTCAATTGGATTAGATAAAATATTCAACTTGACAAATCGAAGTTATTATATGCAGATCATATACAAACTGGTAATTTCTCAATATTAAATTAAACGTCGTTTTTTTTTATTGAATTACATATTCTCTAATTGTCAATTAAATATCATTAGCTTTCGAGAATAAAGCTATTCGTCATCACATAGAAAACTTAGCATCTGTTATGAATTTAACTGAAATGATTACTCCTGAACATGGGCATCTGGGGTTGTAGTTGTTTTAACTGTAGTAGGGCAACGCAAGTGTTCGTTGTTCCACGAATGGGCAGATCCGTCCGGGGATGTACCACGACCTCACAAAAGACCGACGTGAATATCGTTTTGTCTGGTGAGTGAGGCAGCTGGGACTTGAGTGGAGAGACAGTGAGGACTTTATTAAAAAATGGCAACGCATCTGCAACCCTATGGGTCTTGCAGATCTTAATAGGCGGCGCTTAACACTCAACATACGCAAAATACTGACATACATTCTTACATAAAAAAAATATGGGGCCCGGTTAACTCACTCGTCAGATGAAACGCATATGTATAATTTCATTTTGGACCGATATTTTTTGTGACCGTGTCAATTTCCTAGACCAACCCGTCAATTCGTGCAACAGTAGAAGCTGAATACAGATTAGCAAACTTACTAAACATAATGGTCCTCCCTCCGTTTCTTATTTTTTCGGTTACCGTGCTCAGGAGACGTTTGTAGCTATGAAGCCCTAAGAAGAGGCTGTGGCGTGGTTGTAATTAGATTGGCGTGAAATCGTACTGACGCCTGCGTGTGCAGTCCGTTGCTGGACGCCCTGCTGAGAGAGTTGGAGCTTACGTCGGGCAAAGGCCTGTATAGGACACAAGTACTTTGCATCCGTGACCATGGATGATTACCTGGGCTCATTAATTGTTAGTATTTTATTTTGTTATATATTGATTTTATTATTAATTTGTATATAATTCAATTATTACTATGGGTTTTTGCCTGAAATAAAGAATCATTATTATTATTAAAATAACTTGGGCAGATTGTTAGAGTTAAGTCGCTTGATCTTGACTTATATAAAGGGTATGCAGATAAAAAAATATCTAAATACGTTAATCGTTAAAATAAAATCAGAAACAAGTATTTAAATTAAAAATCTGTGATTCAAAAATAAATGCTTGGTTACAGGATGCTTCTCCGTTTTACAATCGTTGTGTCTCTCTGAAAGATGTTTTGAAAAAGCTCCCAAACGGCTTTAAATTATATATCGCAGTTTCTTACTTTCACTATCGATTGCAGTCCAAGCCAAGGATTGAACCACTATCTATCGAGCCCTTGAAGCGTGTCGTTCTTTACCAAGTTAATAAATTTTACATATGTACGCAACACAGGTTGCGATGCTCTCCCCTAGTGGGTACACACAATAGCATGGTGGAAAAACTTAGAAGCCGTAACTCAGTCCCACGGCCAATCCAAGAGGAACTTACATTGGGGGTAAGCGCGGCTTGACACGGATATTACAAATGGACTTATAAATGAAACTAATTTTACGGATTTATCGCGTTTATTTTTAATTTAAGTTCCCGTTTCGAACCCTTTACAGCGTTCATGGTCACGGGACTTAGTTTCATTTATAATGTGTAATCGCGTAAATACAAAAAACAAATGGACTTATTGAAGTAGATGCATTGGGTACGAGGAGCGTGAGGAGGAGGGAAAAGTTGAGGATGGTAAAAGCGAATTCCGTCTCCTTATCCTGTGCATCTTCCTACCTACCATCTACAGCCGAATCGTAGATTGTGTTGGTCTTAATTGCTCCCCAAGGAGGAACAAGGCGACCAGTGCTGGCAGGATTGTAGAATTACGCGAAAGCGCTCCCGTGACCATGACAATTTATGCTATGGCTATCCTGGAAGTTATTTTATTCATACTCACATAGACTGAATCGCTTAATAATTTTTACAGATTCTCAAAGCTGCTTACAAGCCATAATCTCAAACCAATTTCGCTCTAGATCTAAATTTCCAATAACATTAAAGATCAGAAAGGGATTGTTAGAGTGAGAGTTGCCTCCTAAAAGAAATAAATGTTATCTCGGATTCCTGGTCATAATGGCATACCGAGCAATGAAACTGCAGATACTTGTGTTAAACAAACCATTTCTTCTGGTGTTCCGAAGCATTAAGCATTCTGTTCCAGGGCGTTCCATCAGGAATTATCTCACTAAAGGCCCATTTACACGGTGCCAGTTTCTTGCCTGTTGTATACAATTAAATTGAAGCAATAAATAAGTTGCATGGTCTAAACAACAAATGGTCTAACCAATTATTGCGCGCAATTTATTGCATTCAATTATTGCTCTTGCATGTACAAGAAAATGGCATCGTGTAAATGGGCCTTAACTCTTGAACTTCTACTTAAATCTTGTAAAACCGACTGGCTTCAGTCTAAGAACCTTACCTTATTTTGTCATTCAACAAACTATTCCATCAACATCATGGTTTTTCAAGGTGAAGAATCAGGATAAAAGAATTGTTACTACTATTTGTAGATTTAGCATAGGTCATGCTACTACCTCAGTTCACTTGACTAAAAATATGTGAAAGCACTATATGTCAAACTGAGGATGATACAGTGGACCATCTATTCTTTAACTGTCCCAAACTAAATATCTCCCTGTATGACGTTCTACCTTCCTGTATAATGTTCCTCGTCCCATGCATGAAAACATTATTAAGCATCCAATCCTCAAGCTTTGTGGAATTCATTTCCCATTACAAATTGAAACTATTATATAATTTATCTTCACGGCTTTACTTGTTTCATGGTTGTGTTGTCCTGAATATGTCTTTAATCTTTTCAGGCTAACACGCTTAAACCTCTGTTAACTAAATTTACGATTTACGTCTGTCTTTCATCTACATGTGGTTAGCCATTACGTTACGTTAGTACGCGGAATTGTTGCTTGAATTTGCAGTGTTTACCTATGGATAAATATAATGCAGAATAAATTGCAGATACCACTCTAAATTTGTTTGAAAGCTTTGATATTCCTATATGCAATTTTCGTCGAGATAGTTATGATAATGGATCAAAATATGGCTACAAAGTATTCCGGTGTTCAATCAATGTGCGGCAGATTCGCGAAATTTAGTAGGAGTTCAGACTTTTATATGTATTTCCAAAGCTGTAGCGTACTTGAAGATTTTCCAAAAATTATTAAATTTTTTCGAGGATGCAAGATGGTAATGCTTTGCAAAATGGTTTTTCAAATGTTGCCACAATAATCAACCAGGAGTAACAAGGTTCAAGAAGTCTAAACCTTAGTAAAAAATTGCACAACTTAATGTTATAATTGTAATGGAGTTAAAGAATTATCTTTTAGGATTTATGAACACAAGAAGCTTGATTTTACACTTCTATCATCGTGGGCAATAAATATGAATAATGTTAAAACATTATTCATATTTGTCTAGTGTATGGGTTCCTCTTGGTTTCAACGTGCGTGACCAAGCGACGGCTAATAAGTCCCTTCTCCACGACATGGCGAGAAACCCGGTCGGAGGGGATTATGTACAGTATAATATACGAATAATAATTCGGGTTTCGTTGCGGCGTTTTTGGGGTCTCGTATAGTTTTCACGAGTTTGTCTTGTACTCCTAGCGAGTGTAAAGTATAAATTTAACCATTATGCAAGGACTTTGTCAAACGACCCGCGGACCTTTCCAACAAAGTTGTAATATAAGTCGCCTGGACCACCTGACTTCAAATGTACTACATTCTACTCTTCACAAAAGACAACAAGATTTATAGGTATTTATTGACTAGTAACTGTTTACCACAGATTAAGTGGGAGATTAAGAGAGGGAAACTGTTGAGTGTTGACAAAATGACAATTGACATCAAAGAGTAGTCTTAGTATTGGCCTAAAGGTCCTTGATACCGAACCATAAAATCCAAAAAAAAAAGTAGTCTTAGTAGTCTATGGGAATGATTGACATTAGTGACAATGACATTACAATACAAAAATACAAACGTTGACATTGTCACATTGTACGGATGTGATATTGAGAAAAAAATTCGAATTATTAAAAGTCCATTATTAAATATTAATCGATTTTGTAAAATAATTTAATCAGAAGAAATAATAATCGTGATAATAAATTTGAAAAAATCGATTATTTTCTATTATTCTAAAAATCCTGTATAGCAATTAAACTTAATAGAGATTAGTATAGTGTTCACAGTTTACCAGAATCAAAATCAATTAAAATTACTTACCTGTTGCTTAAATTAAAAAAAAACATTATGAACACCACCAAAAGAGAAAGAAATTCCTGCCTTACTATTAAGACGGTAACTTAATCACGAGCACTAAAACTGTTCGCTGAACGCATCAATAGGATGACCACTCTTAACGGGATAAACCAATAATGTTGAAATTGATATTTTTCTGGTTATTTCTTGTCAAAATAAAATATAAACATTTTTTTAAAATATGGAATGCACAATTAACATAATGTCAAAGTATGTACTTAGTATAAAAAAATATAGATGGCTGTTCACAAAAAACGTTTAAAAAGTTAAACTGATATAATCGATTTATTTAAAAAATAATTTTTAAAAATCGATTATAAGAAGAAGAAAAAATCGATTATTTTTTTACATCACAATGACTGTATTTAGAATTCATGAATGAATTCATTCAAACTGAAACGGTTCAAGAATATTTTATATAATTAAACCAAATTAAAAGTCTTTTATTTTGTTCGAATAAGTACTAGCAGTCGTAATACGAATCCTATCACTATAATAAGGTAAGGCTTATTGGAATTTGTAACACTAAGGTCTCATTAGTTGGCTTAAAATAATCAAGTTTCATATTTTCATTTTGGCGGCAATTTTTCGTCTAAAGAAGTTACTAAGTAAATACTCGTAAAATAGCAAACTAAAACATGGATAAGAAAAAGCAATTTAAAGGACCGCCCCCAAAAAGATTTAAAGCACAAGACGACGATGATGATTGCGAAATGCCTTCTAGTTTTGAAGATACGCTTGCTGGAATGGAGGTTGAATTTGATTCTCCGGAAATATTTGGCGAGGGGCCAGAGAATCAGTCTACCGACATTAAATGGTCGCGGCCTAATCCGCCTTTGTTAAACCCGAGATCGGACTCTCTAGTTTTCCAACAATTGGATATTGACCACTATAATGGACAACCAATGGCTGGTATGCCTGGATCTCAGTTGGGTCCAGTACCAATCATGAGGATGTATGGAGTTACTATGAATGGAAATTCAGTCTGCTGTCATGTTCATGGTTTCACTCCATACTTTTATGTAACAGTACCAACTAACTTCACTGACTCTATGTGCAATGAGATGAAAATTAGTCTTAATAAAGCAATCTTGGAAGACTTACGCTCAAACAAAGATAATATTCAAGAAACTGTTTTAGAAGTGCGTTTAGTACAAGCTCGGTCTATTATGTATTATAAAGGTGATCATGATATAAAATTTGCTAGGGTGTCTGTAGCTTTACCTAGGCTAATTGCTGCGGCGAAACGCCTTATTGAGAAACAACCTACATGTTTTGGATTGATGGACCCATCATTTTATGAAACTAATATAGATTTTGATATTAGGTTTATGGTAGACACCTATGTAGTAGGCTGTAGCTGGATTGAATTGCATATTGGAAAGTGGTCTATAAGAACAAAAAATTCTGTTCTGAAACCTGAGTCTAGATGTCAAATTGAAGTTGATGTTGCTTGGAATGCTTTTATTGCACATCAGCCAGAAGGTGAATGGTCAAAAGTAGCACCATTCAGAATATTAAGCTTTGACATTGAATGTGCTGGTAGGAAAGGTATTTTTCCTGAACCCAACCATGACCCTGTAATACAAATAGCATCAATGGTAATTAGACAAGGTGAAACAGAACCATATCTTAGAAATGTCTTCACTCTAAATACATGTGCTCCTATTGTTGGCTCCCAAGTACTTAGTTTTCAGTCTGAATCAGAAATGCTTGCGAAATGGTCTGACTTCTTTCGTGAACTAGATCCTGATATAATTACTGGATATAATATTAGCAACTTTGATTGGCCATATCTTATTAACCGTGCCAAGCATTTGAAGGTTGACAATTTTGACTTTTTGGGCAGAATAAGAAACATTAAATCTGTTATAAAAGATTCAGTTTTACAATCCAAACAAATGGGCCGTAGAGAAAATAAAAGCATAAATTTTGAAGGAAGAGTGCCATTTGATTTGCTACTTGTGCTTGTAAGAGATTACAAATTAAGGTCTTACACTTTGAATGCCGTAAGTTACCACTTTCTCCAAGAACAGAAAGAAGATGTTCATCACAGTATCATAACAGATTTACAAAATGATAGTGAGCAGACAAGGCGACGATTAGCAATGTACTGTCTAAAGGATGCTTATTTGCCACTTAAACTGTTAAACAAATTAATGTGCATTATAAATTACATGGAAATGGCAAGAGTCACGGGAGTTCCATTACTATGCCTTCTTACAAGAGGTCAGCAAATTAAAGTTGTAAGTCAATTGTTACGTAAAGCTAAGGAAGCTGGTTATTTAATGCCAGCTTATCAAGGTCAGGGTTCTGATGATCAGTTTGAAGGAGCAACAGTTATTGAACCAAAAAAAGGATACTATGCTGACCCAATCTCTACTTTAGATTTTGCTTCTTTGTATCCAAGTATTATGATGGCTCACAATTTATGCTATACAACATTAGTTCCTTCAAGTCTGCAAAGAGATTTAAATTTAAATGCAGATGATGTAACTATTACTCCTACTAAAAATGTTTTTGTTAAAGCAAATATAAGAAAGGGCTTGTTACCTGAAATACTGGAATCGCTGTTGTCTGCAAGAAAAAAAGCTAAGGCAGACTTAAAAGAAGAGAAGGATCCTTTCAAAAGGTCAGTATTGGATGGCAGACAATTGGCATTAAAGATAAGTGCTAATTCTGTTTATGGATTTACAGGCGCCCAGGTGGGTAAATTACCCTGTTTAGAGATATCAGGCAGTGTTACAGCTTATGGTAGGACTATGATTGAATTTACAAAATCTGAAGTAGAAAAAAAATACACTAAATTGAATGGCTACAGAGAGGATGCTGTAGTTATTTATGGAGATACAGATTCTGTTATGGTAAAGTTTGGTGTTAAAACATTAAAAGAAAGCATGGAATTAGGCAGAGAAGCTGCTGAATTTGTCACTTCCAAATTTGTCAAACCAATAAAATTAGAATTTGAAAAAGTTTACTATCCTTATTTGCTTATTAATAAGAAAAGATATGCAGGTCTTTACTTCACACAGCCCGATAAATATGACAAAATGGATTGTAAGGGAATTGAAACTGTCCGACGTGATAATTGTCCACTTGTTTCAAATATGATGAGCACATGCCTACAAAAGTTATTGATAGACAGAGATCCAGAAGGTGCAGTTAATTATGCAAAGCAAATAATTTCAGATTTATTATGTAACCATATCGATATATCCCAACTAGTAATAACAAAAGAATTAACAAAAAATGACTATGCAGCTAAACAAGCTCATGTTGAATTGGCTGCCAAAATGAAGAAACGAGATGCAGGTACAGCACCAAAACTGGGTGACAGAGTACCTTATGTTTTATGTTGTGCTGCTAAAAATACACCAGCATATATGAAAGCTGAAGATCCTATATATGTGTTAGAAAATAGTGTACCAATTGATTTTAACTATTATTTAGAAAATCAGTTGTCAAAACCATTATTGAGAATATTTGAACCAATTCTTGGAGACAAAGCAGAATCACTATTGTTAAAAGGTGAGCATACAATGACTAAAGCCATGGTAACATCAAAAGTTGGCGCATTGGCTGCTTTTACAAAAAAAAAAGAAAAATGTATAGGTTGCAAGACTATTATGCCCAATGACACAAAAAAAGCTTTATGTAACCATTGTTTAAGCAAAGAAGGTCAACTTTATATAACAGAAATGTTTAAATTAAGGCAATTACAAGAGAAGTTTTCTAGGCTTTGGACTGAGTGTCAAAGATGTCAAGGAAGCTTACATGAGGAGGTTCTATGTACTAATAGAGACTGTACTATTTTTTACATGAGAAAAAAAGTAGGTATGGAATTAGATGTTCAAGAAAAAACTGTTTTAAGATTTGGTGAGCCAGTTTGGTAAACCTAGTGATAGATGATCATGTCCATGTTATAAATAAAACCACAACAACAATTAAATGTTTTCTTATTATTAAAACAATTGAATACTTTAAAAAGCCACATGCAAATATATTCCACTTTCTGCTATATGAATGTCCATTTGTAAAACAATGAACTATTTACTGAAAGTTTAATTTTACATAATGTATCAAAACAAATATTGCTACTCACATATCAAATACTCAACATTTACAACAAATTCAAATCTAAACTGAATGCAGTTTTAATGACTAAAGTGTAAATGATATAAAAGTGGGTTTAATTAATGGTTAATCTATAAGTACATATTTTGCAAAACAGTTTTAAAATTTATTAAAGTAAAATAATATAAAAGAAAAGCTTAAGCTTTTCATTATCAGTTTTTTTATATATTTTTTTCTTACATTACAAGTGTTGACATGAAGATGTTTTGATTTCAATTGCACTCAATTTCCCCTCATTGTAGACTACAGTCTAAAAAAATTGGAAATTGTGGCTTCTCTTTTATACAAACAATAATTTATGCACACAATAAAATTAATAATATACAACAACATACTCAAACTACATCAGATCTCTTCTGTAACTACAACAATAAATTTTGGAATTTACCTTAAGATATAAGATGATGGCAATATTTATATATGTACTAAATTTAAATAAGCAATAACAATGAACAAAAAATGAACTCTTTAAATATAGGTGTTGTATACAATACCTATATTTAAAGAGGAAAATTAATCTTAAGAAAATTATTAGTTTTATATATTAAGTTTTATACATTGTTATCATTCTAATTAAGTGAATTGACAATATTAAAGTTAGATATGAATTAAAAAAAAAATTTTATGTAATTTATCTATTTTCTTGTGATAATGATCTGTTCAAACTTATCTTTGCATTTTTTGTGGTGTTTTGTAATTTATTACAACTATTTGTTTTATTTATGTTTGGTATGGACATTTCATATGATGCTGCATTTCCTCCGGTGCTACTAGGATTAGTTAATTTCATAATATCTTCTAATGTTCTAATGAATGTGTCGCATGTTGCTGTTAAAAGACTAGATGCCTCTTCAATTTTCTGAAATATGAAAACTTTTTATTAATATATTTATATTACATGATATATAGTAGAGTATAGACAACTACATATCCCTTCTATTGAATGGTGAATATAATAAGTTAATATGTTATTTCTCAAATACATACATAAACCAGTTTGACCATAAATAAACTCCCTTATAAGCACTTAACAGTTTCAAGTATAAAATAAAAATAGACAATTTCATGCTTTAAAAAATCTTACTTCAGTTTCAGGATTTTCCTTAGAAGCTGCACTCTTTATAGCATGCACCTGCTGCATCATCAAGTCACAGTACAGTCTCAACTCAGATTTTTTGTGTCCTAAAGAGTTATCAAAGCCAGCAGCTAAAAAGAACTTAAAGTTAGAAAAAAAAATTAATTTCAACAAGAAAGTGTCATTAATTAACCTCATATACCAATAACATCAATTTTTGAGTCCACACATGCTTTAGCACTACCCAGTGCAACAAGCCATTTTTGCCTGTCTTGAGGTGAGGGTGCTCGTAAATACATATGCTGTTGACCAGGTATAACCAAGTCTAGACGAGTATTATCAATGCTGTTCACTAAAAATTATAAGTAATGTATTATTGTTATTGCATAAATATTTACATTAGCAGAAAAATATTCATATAGAAAAAAGAAAAGAAATCTTACCATTTATCTGACAAACTGTTACTTTCACTGATCCTTTACACCCTTGAATTACTTCCTCTTGCGATTTATAATAAGATAAAATGCCGTTCTCCAGAACAAACCATCTAGTTTGCCAACCTGTGGTAAATATTATATTATTGTTATACATACCCAATCATATTGTGTGATACGTAATTTAAATTAATTTACCATTCCAATAATTGGTCCATTTCCATAAGACACCTTCCATTTCATAAGAAAAACAAAAAAGCGTTTATTTATTTACAACTGCAACGACAGCAAGTTTTGTAACAAACGTCAATAATTTTTAACAGGAATGTCAAACTCAAAACCCGGTGTCAACTTAAGAAACTACGTTTTTTTATTTCACTATCTATGCCCACTGGAATTCCTGTAATCTTATTTTGATCACTAGCTGTTAACAAAGTCCCTATAACCGCTATGACGGGCCTCAGTTTACTTTTCACCGAATAAAAACATTAATGTAAGACTTCTGAACACTGCTCACGACGGGCAAAAATTGCTTGTTACACTGGGTAGTGCCAAAACATGTGTGGATAGTAAGAAAGAATTCGAAGGTAGCGAAAAGGCTGAATACCTCGCCGACTGCCACGAGGAAAGTAGCTGATCGAGGTCAAATCGCGAAAACTCATGATCATGTTTGTTTGTCACTCGATGGTTTGGCACTAGCCGTAGCCAATAAGGTAAAGTATATAGGGGTCTTGCGTGGCACTCCTCATCGAGCCTCTAATGTCACTAAATGGCAAAGTTCATTTATATAAAGCATATAGACAAAATTTATGCGAGTGGCTGTTTCGCAGATGTCCTAGCTAATCTTGATGGCTCCGTGGAGCAGTTGCGAAATGGCTTCGACGTCGGGGGTCGTGGGTTCGATCCCTACATGGGACAACTATTTATGTAATCCACAGATAGTTGTTTCGCATCTGGGTGTTTGTCCACCTAAAATTTATGTTTGTAAAACGTCTACGACTAGTTATGTGCGAGATCATTAAATTTGTAGATCCCCGGATAGGCATAGGGATCTTAACTAATTATCCAGGAAAATCTCAATATTTGTATATCCACCGTCCTGATTCAAATTCGTCCTCCATTTTATATCTGATTTAAAGGATGAATTAGATTTTCGTTTCCCAGAAATTGATAAAAAAATTGTTTCAAGTAGCCATATTTTTAGACCTACGGGTCAAAAGAATAAAAAATTGCTTACAACTTTGGAAAATGAAGTAAATCTCACATCAACTAGAATACAAGTACGAAGCAGAGAGAATGTAATCACTAGGTTTTGGTACGAAGGCCAAACCAGTCCAGGAGTCTAGAATAGTCTATGGGTAACATGTTGGAAAGTGATCATCGTGATGAGGAATCTGAAAATAAAATATTAGATGAGAAACCTAATTTGCTTATACAGCATATGGCAATTTTTTTATGTGAAAAAGTGGTAAGCGGGCTGGTGGTTCACCTGATGTTAAACGACATCCGCCTGCCCATGGACAGTTATAACACCCGTAGGGTTGCAGATGCATTGCTATCTCTTAATAAAGTGGGCTTCGGCTACCTCACTCACCAGACGAAACGCAGAAGTGCAAAACTTCTACTTAACGCCTGTCTTCTCTGAGGTCGTGTTAACCCGTGCGGACCTGCCCATTCGTGGAACATTAAACACTTGCGTGGCCCTACCATCGTTCTCCGATTATCAAGAGATTAACATGTACTAAAGTATTGGCAGAATAACAGTAAAAAGTCTGGAGGTGTCAGTCATATTGCTCACACATCTTTTATCATGACTTGAGGGATAAAGCTGCCAAGTTACTCTATTTTAAAGTACAATTTACAGTTTCTTTAATTGTCACTGTGTTTTTAATCTAAAGTTAAGTTAATACTGACGCCCGTTTTCTGAAACACTGATCATCGTAGATGTTAACTCATCAGCTGTCAAATGGCGTTTCAAACTTCCTTTTAGATATTTGAAAACCCATTTGACAGGCGATGAGTTAAAACCGTGTGTCACATTGTATTAATTAACTTATTACTTATCATTTAATTTCGATTATAAGGGTAAGTGATAGGGTCGACTAACGGCTATAGCAATTAATTAAAACGTAAATAATACTTGAAAACATTTTGTTTACTTGTATATGAGAAAATATAATAATACATAATGACACCGCACATCAAAAAGTAAAAGAACCTACTTCAAATTCAGTGCATCATAGACTCATACGTGGACATCATCACGACCTTCCAACAGTTCAAAAATATAGCGGATACGGATCTTCTTTTTCTGACGGATATCCGCAGATACGAATTCGGAAATCCGAAACTTACAACACAGAATTTTATAAAGACTCAAAAAAATTAATGAAAAATCACTTAAAACCGTTTCAAATGACCCAAAACCGATTTCTACTGCATTTCTACCGTATCTCCGTCCGTAGCCAGAGAAGTTGGATTTAACATCGAAGACTCACTGAAGAAACGGAAGAACGGTTAGGCAAACGGTCCTGCGGGAAACCTTGAATATGCAATATATTACCCATACGTTTCGCGCTAAAAACTACACAAACGCAACTAAAAACTACTCGGAACAATAATAATTTGTATGATATATATATAAGATTATTAGAATGCGGAAACAAAACGTTTCGTAATTTGACGATCGCCGGAGCTTGGTAGTCGGTTTAGACTTCCGTTCGGTTTGGGACCTAATTATAAATGTTGAAAAAACACTCATAAGAAAACTCGATTTTTCATACTGATACTAATAAGACAGCGCGATTAATTATAATGCCTGGAGCATATGTCAATTAATACGAATGAACTTTTCTTTCTAGTTTTACACTGTTAAACCAAACTTTGAACGAAAAATTTTAACATCAAGCAGAGTTTTTGTACTATAATTATAGTATTTGTACTATAATTTCATGCTTCATACTATATACTATCCATATCTAAGGATGGTACGGAAATGTATTATAATTTCGTTAATTTACATTAATGACCAATATAAATGCAAATCCAACATTAAAAAAAGGTTTATTTGGTTATAACATTCTTGTATCTTGTATTAACTAATGTTTTTGTCTTCAGTCCCGAGATTATTAAAGCTTCATATGACGCAGAACCGGTGGGCTAGCCAGAACCCACGGGTTAGGGCCACGCATGTGCTCATGCGTGCATTTAACTATGGTGTGTCATCTAAGGGCCATCGAGGTCGCGGTTCGGACCGAAATCCCGATGGCCGTCGACTGCGCAGTTAGCTAATCTAGGCTAAGAGCGGTGAGAACCACCCCGGAACGCGGGTGTACCTTGTGTACGCGTTGTGTTGGTCTCGCTGTGTATGTGTGTTGGGTCGATGAGGGCGTTTCGCGGGCGACGCTTGTTGACGTTCGCGTTTGTGTTGAGTTGGTAATTTGCTGCGCTTACCACCAGAGGGTTGGGATGATGTTCGGCTCTATCGAAGAACCGTTTGGTCAGGGCTTTAAAATATTCGCGAATCGTCGGGAGTCTGCAATCGCTGTGCAGGTCGACGTTTGCTAACCGGTCGTGGCGGACTATGTTATAGTTTGTGATTCTGGGATCGCGTACACTAGGTTTTAAGAAGTTCGTTTTGATATCGCGGGAGTTTTGGGGGCTTTAGCGCAGTCTCTTTAACTAGCTGGGTGACCGGTGGAGTGGCAGTTTACGCAGTCCGGTGGATCTGCGCAATCTTTCGGCCACGTGCACTCGGGCGTGCCGTGGTCAAAAGATTCATTTGACGCACCTAGGGCGAGCGAAGCCTTTATTAACCGTGTGGCCGCAATGCTGGCAGTTGTGGCACTGTGCCACAACGCCTGATTTTCGATGACTGAGGCTCGATGACTAGGTCGCTGAGCCCACAGAACCTCTTCAGGTTGAAGATGGCCTTACCTTCCGGGGTAGGGTCAAGTTCAACCATGACCATGTCCATAGGGTGTCCCTAGGGGTTCGTAGGTGCCTGAGGCGACGAACTGCATGTACAGGGTATCCCTGAGTGCAGATGTCGATCAGAGGTCTTTGGGGACGCCCTTTATTACTACCAGAAGTTTTCGTTCTTCGGGCAACGAGTAGATATGGAAACCTACCTTATTTTCGCGTAAGTACTTAGTTCCGCGGTGGAAGTCGTCCGTTGTATTCTTCTTATCTTCGACCAGGGGTCGCGGATGTTGTGGCGTTCGAACCACGAGCATACTTGATCCCACTTTGGCTTCTCTTGAATTATTGGAAGTGGTGGCCTTTTTGGCGGGCGTCGCGGTGGGATGGTTAGATGAGGCGGCCTCGGATTCGGGGTCGCTGTCGATTGCGGGGCGTTTTTTGCCCTTCTTACGCGACTTTACGACGGTGAAGCCGTCGGTGTTGGCATTATCAGTGGGGGTCGTTTCGACCTCCATGTCCGAGCCGCCGTCCGATTGTAAGTTGTCCCATGTGGGGGAACGACGGCGCGGAAGGTGCGATGAGTACGATTGCGGTCGCGGAGATCGACGCGACGGGCATTTCTTGTGACGCATTTGCGGGCGCAGAGGGCACCGGAGATGGCGGCGAGGCGACTGCTGGTGAAACTTGGCTGTCGCTGGCGGACTCGACGACTAAACATTGTTCATTCGCGAACGCGAGAAAGTTTTCCCACTCCTCTGGACATCGTTGGCGTAGGAATTCCTCTAGGAGGGAACCCATTTCGAACGCTTGAGTCAGCGTGTAAGTTACTAAAGAAGCTTCCCCACATTGCGGCAGGGAGGTATGTGCCTAAAACTAACAACTAATTCGCCTGCGCTTTAGGTGCGCTAGGGTGGGTACCTAGCTGTTGTCTATCGCGACAAGCACTCAGTTATTAAATAAAACAACGCCGCCTCTGAGGTGAGAAGTGTGTATAGAATTCTACTCACAGAACAGGAACCTGTCTACGAGCACAACACTACACTAACACTGAACTACTGCACTGCTTGCACAAAGATTTAAATTGCAACCGAGGTTGCGAGTAGCGTCTAATTCAGGTGGCATGAGCCCTCCGTCTTAGAGAGAGCACGAAGCGGAATCCAAAATAAATGTGAGTTATAACGTTGTAATATTTTAAACAATATAAAGTGGATTATGTGAGATGGAGTCCTTGTCAATTATTTATTACAAATAATCTTTAGTATGAACTATTAACGGGGACTTTCCGTTACATTTTTATTTCTATACTAAGCTTTTTAT